GGGAAAGAAAAATGAGGCTATGGCATTAGATACTATGTCTTTCCACTGGTTATTGTGTCCACAAACATAATTAGAGTCACAATTAATACAAAAAAAGTTAGAGAAATTTGAGGAAGGCTTTCAGGAAGCCGAATCCATCAGACCAAGGTCGAAGGGAAACAACCAATCCAAAGCACAATTCTAAGCATGGAAATCCTGGAGAAGCAGTTATAGAACGTCTAACGCGCATTAACAAAAGTGATAGGATAACAACAATCTCTCTTCAGGAAGGATGTTACCCCAAATGCAAGGTCGAAATAGCCACGGAGGAAATGATTAGAGCAGAAGAAAGGGAGGTTCACAACACAAGAGCCATAATAATCAAATAAATTAATATTCGGCGTCTGGTTCTATAATATATTTTAACCTCGGTGTCGCATCGACTAACTTATCTTGAAGAATTACATACGAAAAGGAAATACTAGATATTAAACGTTACACTTGTCACGATGAGGGCCACAAAGAACTTTTGAATGACTCATTTATAATTTTCGCAGTGCCTTAAAGTTAGATTATGGAAAAAAGTCTATGACCTTAGTGCAGTTATAACATTATGAATATTTGTTTAGCTTAAGTAGGACCAGGTCCCCAGACTGATCTCGGGGGGCAAATCGGATCGAACATAATCCTCGCACCCTCATAGGTGAAGAGACTCGCCAATAGCCCCCATCATGTTTTTAGACCAAACACTGTAAATGTAAGATCTGGAAAGTGAAATAGCTAGGTTCATGTCAACGCGTTGACATCTATTATACAAAATATTAATATTGATCAATTGATTGAGATATGATAATACCTAAACTTTATTTATTTATTTATATGTTTTCTAAGCACCTAATAATTCAAAGATTTATACATGGGAGTTGAGGGGAGGGCCTCTTATCCCAAAAATTTGTTCCCTGTTATGCACTACTTGTCATGATTTGATGTGAGGATAGCCAAAAACAAAATATGGTTTATGAAGATCCATCATCGGTTTTTTAATTAAATACCCACTAAATTTTGGTACAAACTGTCAATAGCATAGGGTTCCAATTTTAGTGCGTTCCTTTTAAAAATATAGAACCTTTTCATTTTTTATTTATGAGAAAAATAATATAAAAGAACCACAATAAATTAAGATATATTGATTACCCTCAGTTTAACATTATTATATGCTCCATTCCAATACAATATATTCCATCACTAAATAATTTACACACTATATGAAATGTTAATTTTCACATTTCTATATGAGTGAAAAAATAAAACCACTGTGATCCCACCACGACATGTTCCACGGATGCATTCATTTTGACTTGAAGTCTGCGATTGAAGACTTTGATTGCTCCAATATTGTTCAAACTTTTGAGGGGCTCATTTATACTTCCCGCAGTGCCTCAAAGTTAGATTAAGGAAAAAAGGCTACGACATAGTACAATCATACCACCGAGAATATTTTCTTGGCTTAAGTAGGACTAGGTCCCCAGATCGGTCTTAGGGCGCAAATCAGACCGAACACAAACCTGGAATCCCCATCGGTGAAGAGACTCGCCTAGTAGCCCCTGGCATACTTTTAGGCCAAACACCATCAATGCAAGATCTAGAGAGTGAAATAGATTTTTGTTATCGTGCATCTATTATAAAAAAAATATATCAATATTAATCAAATAATTGAGATTTGGTGATACCTAAACTTTATTTATTTATTTATGTGTTTTTTAAGCACCTAATAATTCTGAGATTTATACATGGGAGTTGAGGGGATGGCCTCTAATCCCAAAAATTTGTCCTCAATGTTGTATATGAGGATAGCTAAAAATATATATATGGTATATGAAGATCCATTATAAGCTTTTTAATTAAATACCCACTAAATTTTGGCATGTACCGCCAATAGCCTAATGTTTCAATTTTAGTACGTTCCTTTTAAAAACATAAAACCTTTTCATTTTTTTTATTTATGAGAAAAACAACATAAAAGAACCACAACAAATCAAGAAATCAAGATATATTGATTACACTCAGTTTAGTGCTATTATATGCTCCATTTTAATACAATAAATTCCCATCACTAAATAATTTACACATTATATGAAATGTTAGTTTTCACATTTCTATATGAGTGAAAAAATAAAACCACTCTGATCCCACCACAACATGTTCCACGGATGCATTAATTTTGACTTGAAGTCTGCTGTTGAAAACTTCAACTCCTGTAGCATTGTTCAAACTTTTGAGTGTCTCATTTATACTTTTGGCAGTGCCTCGAAGTTAGATTAGGGAAAAAAGACTACGACCCTAGTGCAGTCATAGCATTGGGAATCTTTTCTTGGCTTAAGTAGGACCAGGTCCCTATACCGGCTTGAGGGTGTAAATCAGACCGAACATAATCTTGGCACCCCTGTAGGTGAAAAGATTCACCCAGTAGCCCCCAGCATGCTTTTTGACCAAATGTTGTCAATGCAAGTTTTGGAGAGTGAAATAGATTTATGTCAACGCTCTATTGTACAAAATATCAATATTGATCAAATGATTGAAATCTGAAGATAGGGCCGGACCTGAGATTGAAAAATTCTTGAGAGGCCCTAGGCGAACTTTAAATGAGGCCCTTATACATAAGTTTCACACGCGCAATTTTTATTTATTTATGAAAGTGCGAAATTTTCATTAAAGTAAATGTGATCATCTTGCATTTTAAGCTGCAAAATTATCAATTAAAGTGTTCAAATCAACTTCTCCAACATATCTTTTTCAATAGACAAGATGGCCAATCCATTCAATCTCAATAATACTTGCCTCCAATGTTCTCTATCTTTGTTGATTTTTTCTTCCACACTTTTATCGATTGTTGCATTTTTTTGTAATCTGATTTCTAATTCAATCCAATTCCCCATGTTAACAATGTGTTCACGACTAGTCTTGTGAGTTTTAAGTTTATCCCAAAGATTTTTCCAGTCATTCACTCCTTCATTTGCCAAATGAGTTTTTTGTTCGTCACATTAAACAACTTACAACAAAAGCAATAGACTATGTCCAAAGAACTCGAATAGATTAGCCATCTCCTATCATGTTTTTCACAGTTTGACAAGTGTCGAATGTAATATGTAAAAGAGAAACGTCTATTTTTTTAATTTTTAGAAAAAATTTCAAGTTTAGCATATCTTGGAAGACCTCTTTCAACTAATAAATCTCTCATTTTTTTATCAATATCTTTCCAATTTCCTGGATCATTAATGTTCAAAGGAAGATTATCATTCTCATTCATATATTCTTCATTTGCCAAATCTTAAAGTTCATTCACATGTTCTTCATTTTGATTCTCTTTCTTATCTTCATTCATTAAATCTCCATGTTCATTGAGATTTTCTTCATTCCTATGTTCTTCCTTCACCAAATCTTCAAGACTCCAACTAAACTCTTAGTTTGTGCATTGTTCGTAAAAAACTTATGAATAGCGCCATTTTGAGATTCAATCAATTCTTCAAATTTATTTTATTTTATTTTATTTTATTTTATTTTTTTTTTTTTTCATACCCAAATTTAAATTTTCTTGTAGACATAACTATTAAAAATCTTGCAATCTTAGAAATCTAAATAACAGGAAACACAATCAACATAAAACTAAACTTTAAAAAAAAATACTTTGCTGAAAGAAAATATAGATTGGCTCAATCTCAATGGCTCAATATGCAATCATATGATTTACAGAAAAATAAAAATACCTCATGAGAAGTCTAAATGATAAGTCCTCAAATCCCTGTATTACAACAAATTCATTTGTCAAACAATAATTCCCCTATTTCCATAAGAACAATTGATATAGATTTAAGTTCATCAAAATAATTTTTTGGTTTTAAGATTTAATTTAAGTTCATCAAAATAACTACTTGAAGACTTGAATTAACTTAGATGTAGAAAAGAAAACTTATAGTGTTGTTGCCATTAATTGAGTGTGTTGATAGGGATCGATGATGCAGATGCAGAGTTACGAACCCGGAAAAAAGGAACAGAGAGAGACTGAGAGAGAGCTCAGACTTTAAGAGGGATTGAAAAAGCTTCTGTCTTCTTATTGTTGTCGTTGGTTGCAGAGCAGAGAGAGAGAGAGAGTAAGCTTGAGACTTGAGAGGCTAAATTTGCCCAAAATCTGATTGTTCAGCATTTGAGGCTGGCCCATCATTCTTGCTCCATTTTGATGGCCCTAAACTTGGAAGCGAGTTTCAAATGCTACGGTTTGGTTATAATTTTTTTTTTTTTTAGCGGCCCATCATTTTTGAGGTCCCTTATTTGTTGCATTTTGGTTATAATTTTTTTTTTTTGGTAGCCCAACATTCACGGGCCTATAAAATTTGAGGCCCCTTAAATGATTTGATGCATTTAGTTACAAATTTATTTATTTATTTATTTTCTTTTGTAGCCCATCATACATGGGCCTATAAAATATGAGGCCCTAGGCGACCGCCTTGGCCAGGGCCGGCCCTGTCTGAAGATACCTAAACTTTATTTATTTATTTATGTATTTTTTAAGCACCTAATAATTCAGAAATTTATATATGAGAGTTGAGAGGAGGGCTTCTTATCCCAAAAATATGTCCCCTGTTATGCATTACTTGTCAAGATTGGATACGAGGATAGCTAAAAAAAAATTGTATATGAAGATTCATCACCAACTTTTTAATTAATTAAATACCTACTAAATTTTGTCATGTACCGCCAATAGCCTAGAGTTCTAATTTTAGTATGCTCCTTCTAAAAACATAGAACCTTTTCATTTATGAGAAGAACACAATAAAATAACCACAACAGATCAAGAGATGAAGATAAATCGATCACACTCAGTTTAGTACTATTATATGGTCCATTCCAAAACAATAAATTCCCATTATTAAATAATTTACACACTATATGAAATGTTAATTTTCACATTTCTATATGAGTGAAAAAATAAAACCACTCTGATGCCACCACAAGAAGTTTCACGTATGGATATATGTATTTCTGCAATTAAAGACTTCAACTCCTGTTGCATTGTTCAAACTTGAATTCATCAGTCCAACCATTTGGTTCTCAACTCTACACATATCAACAATATCATTTCCAAATGTTGAATTCCAATCCTCCATATTGGAGTCGCCAAATCTAGATATTTTAAACAATTAGTGAAGAAATTAATCACAGCTACCTCTTTTGAATTGCCTTTGGGCTTATTCAATTGCTAATGGGATGTTGAGTATTTTGTAAACAACTTAGCTTTGGGCCACGCTATTGTTGTATCTTTTGTTATGGGCCTAATGGCCCGTTAATATATCTTATATGTAATAAAATATATAATGTATTATAATATTACAAATTGATTATAATTTAATATTTGCATATAATATAATATAAATATGGTATATGATAATATAACATAAATAAAAATACATAATAAATCATAAATATTTTTGTCCCAAAAAATTATTTATACGGAGTAATATTAGATGTCATAAATATATTTTTTTCAGTATTTAATATAATAAAATTAGTATATAACATGAACAATATGAATTTTATTTGATAGTAAAAATGTTTTTAATTATAAATAAATTAAAAATATGGCAATAACCAACCAAAGCAATATTTATTTATTTAGTTTACACAATAAATATAATCAAATTAATTAAAGGTGATGATGGAATATGGATGCCTCACTTGTGTTATTGTTTTATCTTTTTCCCTATTGTCAGGCTTATTTTGGCTTTTGGCCTTTCAGATTAGCTTCATCTCTTCTCTTTAAGAAATTAATTATTAGATAGTCAATTATCAAATCATTGTTAAGATTTCTTTATAATATATTAATATATTATTATGAAAATTTGAATTTAATTGGTCCATCAAGAATTTATGGACATCCACTTTTTTAAATAGTTTTTTCATTCCATTTGACTAATGCTGTTCATTAGTTATTTTCACACTTGAGTCTTACCAAGCAAGCTAGGGATACAAAAATCCATATATATTGTAGCAAGCAAAACCTTATTTTTTCTCTTTCACCTCCTCCCCACATCTCATTTTCAGCTTCATCCTCTTCTGGGTAATCTTGATCCATACACACACACACATATATATAACCCTCATCTTCTACATATATATGATCATTTCACACCCAATATATATATATATATTCAACCAAGTATATATATATATATAGTATTTTACAAATACATATATATAAGAGTTGTAATAAATTAAGGTCATAAAGTGGATCTAAACAGGCATGGGAAGAGGCCCCTTCCATCCGATGATTCATCGGAGAAAAAAGAAGAAGAAGAAGAAGAAGAAAAGAATAACATATTTCCTGTCTACTCAGCTAGATCCCAACAAGACATGTCCGCAATGGTGTCAGCACTCACTCAAGTTATTGGAAACACTGATAAAAACCTTCTTCATGATATGCCTGCAGGAAACTCAGTAGCCGTAGGCATGGCCCAGCCGGGTGCAACGGTGCCTCCTGATCAGTCTCAACCCAATATTCAAGATCAAGGTAACATAAATACATATATATTCATATCATTTACGTTGTATTAGATAATCTTGTTTAGAATATATATATATATATATATATATATTTATATTTATTTATTTATTTATTTATATTATATATTATACATATGTGGAAAAGTTAGACTTGAACATGTTGATGACAACCACTTCTATTTCAAGCTCACTAGGATGTTGTATTTGGTCAACTGACTGGTTAGATTTTGCTAGAAAAGTATAGTGCAATTTTGTGTATATGGATCTCTACACAGGTATGATTCTGCATGCCTGCTTAAGCATATAAACTCTCTCTCCTATGCCCAAACTCTGGAATAATGACATGAAAACAACTAGAGCTAATTAATAATAACATGAAATCAACTAGCTAGTTCACACTACTTACCGAAAAAAAAAAAAAATTAGCTAGTTCACACTATATATATATATATATATATATATATATATATATATATATATATATATATATGTTTTATATTTTTGCTCTTCATTTATCATTCTGATTCAATCTAGGAAATGGTCTGTGGTATTTACTACATTCATGTTTTTGCAGTTTACAACCATCATATATATATATATATATTTAATTATATAGTTACAGATGTTAGAAGAATATAATAAATAAAATTAATTAACCTAATTATTTCATGTACGGCCTTTGATTGAGGCTATGGTATTAGATAGAGCGGAATGGAAATATATGATTTACCTAACTGACCTCAGATAGTTGGGAAAATGCCTGTTATTGTTCTTGTGGTGGTGATTTTCACATATGGGATGATTTGTCAAAGCTACATATATATATTATAAACAAATCTATATGTACATTGTGAAGGGAACCAAGGGAGAAGACACTACAGAGGGGTGAGGCAAAGGCCATGGGGCAAGTGGGCAGCCGAAATACGAGACCCTAAAAAAGCAGCAAGAGTGTGGCTAGGCACTTTCGAAACAGCTGAGGCTGCTGCACTTGCATATGATGAAGCAGCTCTTAGATTCAAAGGAAACAAAGCTAAGCTCAACTTCCCTGAAAGAGTTCAAGGGAGAACCGAGTTGGGTTACCTAACAACTCATCAAGATTCGCGTTTCATTGCTCACTCGGTTGCTCCTCCTCCTCATCCAGTACTTCTGCCTCAAAATATATATCCTAATAATTTTGCTCATTATGCACAAGTTCTTGGTAGTGGGGATCATAATTTGAACCACGCCATACCATCCGGTATCTACCACAGAGGAACATATCTTTCGCCGTCTATGTCTTCATCTTCAACATCTTCCTCTGCATCAACGCATAATTGGCAACAACAAGGAGGAGAGGTTAGAAGACTTCCACCGCAGTCTGGAAGTTCTTCTTCAAGTTGTGATCCTCCAAAGAATTGGGAAGATTTTGATCCTAATGATCAGTCGAAAGGGTAGTTGATCCAAGTTCACTGGAGATATATACATCATCTTATATCTATTGTGATTTTCTTTTTTATGCTCAAAAACTTTGTTCTCAAGGGTTTTCAAGAAAGGTTGGTTTGATGATTTTTGTGTGGTATCGGGCAGGAAATTTTTAACAATCAAAAGAAGATTTTATGAGATGAAGTATATTGCATTTCAACCTATATAGTCAATATTCCATGAAAGTTGAATGGCTATAACATATCTTGATTATCATTTCAAGTTACATATATATTACTTAGGATGGAGATGCATCAAAGAACCTTGGATCATCACCAAATTTGATTATAGAAGTTTATTTTTAAGGTTTCATGATATGCCCCTCGCAAGGTTTGAATTTTATAATGATGTTGCTTCATTATTGCCTGAAAGTTACACATTTGAAACAGATCTTACAATGACAGAAGTTTCGTGATATGCAAACTAACATATTAGAACTTTACCACCTCATGTGGAGGTGCTAGAAGAATGCTAAGTCACACTTTTCCAGATTAGAGAGTTTTTGATTGAATTTGATTAGATCATATATGATTCAACCCTATTGAATAATTTTTCCTCAAACAAAAAGGTTTAGGTAACAAAAAATAGATTATCTACAAAGATTGTTTTTCCAGAGTTCTTTTTTTTTTTTTTGAAAGTTATTTAGAGCACAACAAAGAGGTGGGCCAACCCACATGCATGTGCATTGATGAAATACATTAATAAATTTCACCTTGTACATAAGAATGTGTTTCGACTCAACTCTAGATCTCTTGCCTAAGTGGTGGTCTTCTTGGTTTCAGTAGAGGTTTAAAAGTCCAATGATGGACGTACGGACATGAGATAGTGGGTCCCACCACACCTCCATCTCAGCAAGCATGCAGCTGGTACGATAAGCCACACCATGTACTTCTTGTTGAACGTAATGTCTGCAAACACATGGATAGCAAATATGTAAAACACAAAGAGATTAGATATATGGATAATAAATAAATGAGAGAGAGAGAGAGACAAAAAGAAGAGACGAGAGAGAAGAAAAGGAATACTTGTTTCACAAGCTAGTTGTTGAGTTTGAATTGCATCCCCATCGAGATTCTCAAAGTGGAGGCTTGATCGAGCTTTGATATATATCCAAAGTTAGCTTCTAAGAGAGATACATATATATATATATATATATATATATATAGATAAGTGTGAAAATACTCTCCGAAAAATATATAAATATATATATATATATAAGTGTGAAAATGTTAACAAAGTGTAGTCACGGAAATCAAAATGCTAACAAAGTGTAGTCGCGGAAATCGGCTAAGGTTGGCGGACAAAATGAGCTTCACATGAAAGGTGAGTGAAACCAACAAGTGTGCAATGCATATATCAGTTGTTTGAACACTTTGGTCAGCCTGTTCAAAGATGATTATCTCATATGGGTTTCATAATTATGGGAATAGGCTCTATAACCGATACGGGACACACTAACATATATGCGTTCAGCTTATTAATTAGTACTTATAGTACAATTTATTCCTTCAGAGATAGTCTCTCTCTCTTTCACCTGAAACTTCCATATGTGTCTAATGATACTTCCAGAAGTCTTTTGTTTTGACCCGTATCTTTTTTTTTTTGACCCGTATAATCTTTTATTTATAAAGTCCACTTTTTTTTTTTTTTTTTTTTTTTTTTTCCTTTTCTTTTGAAAATTGAATATTAAATAGTTTGATTAAAGTGCATGTCCGGGACACTTTCCAAAATAGAATGCATGGAAGTCCATGAAGTAATACAATTCGTTTGACGTTATGGATTAATTAAATTTGGTACACACTATATATAGAATTAAATGTTGAATTAAACTATCAAATAATGACACCTCTCGTCAAATCAGATTTTAAGTCAAATGTATTTTAAAAATTACTTTAAATATAAGTGACCCATAAAATGAAAGTGGTGGTGATTCTTATTATGATTGAATACTGAACAATTAATACATAATATATATATATATATATATATATATATATCAAAAAATAAAATAAAAATCTCAATTAACAATTATCGCTTAAATTTTTTGCGTCAAAAATTCAGTTTTTAAAATTTTCAGTTTTCATTGCATCTTGAGGCTAGATAACTCTTCTTATTTTACCAAAAAAAAAAAAAAAAAAAAATTAAAAGTTTAGATTAGTTAATAGCATTTGGATTGGATTCGAGGCATCTCCTTTAGAAAATTTGTCGATGTCAATTTATATTAATCCTCGTCATCTGCATTCATCGAGTTTGTATCCCATACAAATAATTATTTTGCACTTCTAACCCGTGAGAATTGCTATTTACTCAAACAATCTTTTATTAGCTATCATGGGCAATGTTGTGGAAAGTAGTCCATCATGTAAACTTAGAAATTCTCGATCTTTCGCTTTGAAATGTTACGGAAAGTCGTTATTTTATCGTGTCAATCTCATTACATAACGGCAGTTTAAGAATCTTTTATCTTTCATTTTGAAATGAGAGAAGACACTACTGCCATATCACATACCTTGGTTCTTCGTCAATTATTCAAAAGCAAACTATTCGATATGTTTTTTTTGGTGATAAAAAAAAAATGAAGAATAAATCCACCTGCTAATTATTTTGGAGATTTGGTACAATGAAAATGGAAGGAAAAAAAAAAAAAAAAAGAATGATAACCAAGGTTTGGTATGAAATGTTGAAAGTAAAAATAAAAAATAAAAAAGAAAAAGAAGAATTTGGAAGAAAATAAAAAGACATGAATAGTAACTTTTATTATCTTTTTAAAAGTGTGAAGAAATGAAAGGAAATGGAATAAATGACTAGTATTTTAATATAACTTTGTTAATATAAAATTTACCCTTATTTTTATAAAAGTCTAAATCTATGAAAAATGGTGTGATTGTAAATTCAATAAAATAATTTTTTTCCTTTCTTTCTATAAAGATCGTTACGATCAATTTTTTTTTTTATTTTTCTTCATTAATCAACTAAACACAATAAATAATTAACACTATCATTTTTTTTTTTTTTTTCCGTCTTAACTAATGTTATAATTTATTTTCTTTTTCACTATAACAAACATTGTTCAACATTTAAATTCTCAAACAATTTATGAGCTTCAAATATATATAATCGTCCGTAAATTCTAATTCAAACCCTAACCTGATCCTTTAATGAGTTTCAAATTAAAAAGTCAAACAAAAAACCTCGAAACCTTATCAATTGAACTGGTCCGTCTCGCAAAGAACTGTGTAAGCATCTGGAAACAAAAGTAACCCTTCTATGTTAGCTGTCAATTTTATTTTTTGGGTAAATTGATGTGATTTTTTTTTTTTTTTTTTCCGAAAGGTAGATGTTAGTTCTCTCAGTCCACGTTTCAATTGATTGCATCTTTCCAGACCTTTCGCTTTTCGGCACCGCCATTGGAAAATGTGTTATTTTGACCCCACACGGAATTCAAATATAATTGTAATATAAATGTGTGTGCATGCACTTAAAGCCAGAACCAAGTTCCACTTAGGTTTACCATTCCACTAAAAACTAATATAATGTAGATTGTAGAAAATGTTTAGGGACATAATGATCCCATTACCCGCGTGGCCACGTGTTGTAATTATAAGTATCTCCTTTTGTACACACAAATTTGGTATGTATAAAATAAAGAATAAAGTAAATAATACATAATAATTTATTGATTTATAAAAATTGAAGAGTACAATCCTTTGAGGTATTCTTTGCAAAAAAAAAAGAAAATATATTCTAATTCGATCTCATTTGTTGGTTGGATCTAAGGACTGGAAGAGTTTGATCTTGATTCGATTTGTTGACAATCTTCTTCAATTTGTACTTGAGGAAGACTACCGATGATTTCTGATTGACAGCTGATGAAGTTTGATCTCGAACAGTGTTATTTAGTGATTCTTCAAACTTGTTGAATCACGGAGAAAAGAAAGGCACGATTTTAATGTACTTCTTGTTCTTTGTTGAATTTGAGAAAGAACGGCACAACTTTGGATGTGCTGGATTGTTATTCTTTACCTTCACAGAATTTATTGAATTTGAAGAAAAACGGCACGATTTCGGATGTGCTTGTTGCTCTTCTTCTTTAAAGATTGGATGTTGGGGATGAATTCTTCAAGGATTGGGTGTTGGGGATGAATGTCGGCAACGTTTTTGTATTTTACACTGGAATTCTGGACTTCTAAGTTTCTAAATTTCTGCACTTCTTCCTCTTTCCTCTATGCCTCTACTTATAGATTTTTTGGATAAACAGGATGATGACATGTGTCCTTTCTTGATAAAGACACAATTATAATTGGGTTGGGCCGGTTATATTGTGATAATTATTCATTAAAATAATTATTCTCAAATATATTTTATTGAGAATAATTATCTTTTTATTTAATTAACAGGGCTGGGTTAATTAAATAATTTAAATTGACTACGTTTGGACCAATTAAATAATGTAATTAAAAATGAGACCCATATTTTGTGACGACCCTGGTTTTTAGGCCAGCGCGTCCTATGATAGACTGAACGTAGATCCAATAATGAATCCAGAATGTGGAAGCAAAAGGTAAAATAATAGTCTCTAAAGATACTACACATCTACTAGACACCAATGTGATTCTCATTGAAGTCATAAAACCCAAAGAAAATAAATGCAGAAACGACGCCTCAAAAACGGATAAGAATGAACCTAGGGGCAAAATGGTCTTTTAAGACTAAAATGGGTGCCACCGTGCACACCATTGCAAGACAACAAAAAATTAATAAAGATGGACTCAAGAATGACTTGATTCAGAGTCCGAACGAAAAAGATATATACTTAAGAACCTATCATGATCATTATAAATATAACCTCAAAACTTAATTTAAATCATGGAAACATATAAATAAAAATTAATTAAATTAATTGACTAATGTCTCTAGATTTCAAAACAACCCTATATAACTTCAAATTAATTAAGGTAAGTTATGAATCAAGTCATGGCCTTTCCAAAACTCAAGTCCTAGCTTAATTTCATGTAAAGTACCATTAGTTATAAACTTAAAATCTTAAATTTAATGCATGTAATACCTAAGAACCATGTCATAAAGCATATAAAACATAAAAAACATAACTTAAAACAACCCCTACCTCACAAGAGGATTGTTCCTCCTGAATCTAAAGGAAAGC